GTTTTCCAGGGAGAAGTAGTATTATGCCTACAGCAGGGTTTTCAATGAACAAGTATTATTTAACCCAGGGTAGCATGAGCACTTAATGTAGAATTAATGCCACTAGCAGGCAAGGCAAGGCAGAAATATCAAATATAATTTAGCCTATAGCACACTATTAGGAAGAAGTATTGTTTAACCAAGTGCAGGATGAGGTTCTCAAATTGTTATTTAACCAATGGTAGTGTAAGGTGTTTTATTTTAAATATCATTTAGGGTCAGGTAGGGATGGGTAAGGTTTTGTGCTTGAAGGGCTTTCAAGGGGAAAGGATCATTTAGCCTAATGTAGGAAAAGGGCTGCCATAGTAATGTATTATTTAGACCAGGGTATTCACATAGAAATACCATATAGCCCAGTCTACGGTTTTCAATGGTGAAGTATCATTAACCCTGTGAAGGATGAGGTTTTCAAAGGTGAAGTATCACCAATCCCGGGTAGGATTAGGTTTTCAATGGTGAAGTATCACTAATCCCGGGTAGGATTAGGTTTTCAATGGTGAAGTATCACTAATCCTGGGTAGGATTAGGTTTTCAATGGTGAAGTATCACTAATCCCGGGTAGGATTAGGTTTTCAATGGTGAAGTATCACTAATCCCGGGTAGGATTAGGTTTTCAATGGTGAAGTATCATTAACCTTGGGGAGGATGAGGTTTTCAATGGTGAAGTATCATAACTCTGGGTAGAATGAGGTTTTTGATGGTGAAGTATCATAACTCTGGGTAGAATGAGGTTTTCAATGGTGAAGTATCATTAACCCCGGGTAGAATGAGGTTTTCAATGGTGAAGTATCATTAACCCCGGGTAGGATGAGATTTTCAAAGGTGAAGTATCATTAACATTGGGGAGGATGAGGTTTTCAATGGTGGAGTGTCATTAATCCCGGGTAGGATTAGGTTTTCAATGGTGAAGTATCATTAACCCTGGTTGGGTGAGGTTTTCAATGGTGAAGTATCATTAACCCCAGGTAGGATGAGGTTTTCAATGGTGAAGTATCATAACCCTGGGTAGAATGAGGTTTTCAATTGTGAAGTGTCATTAAACCTGAGTGGGATGAGGTTTTCTATGGTGAAGTATCATTAACTCTGGGTGGGTGAGGTTTTCAATGGTGAAGTATCATTAACCCTGGGTGGGTGAGGTTTTCAATGGTAAAGTATCATTAATCCCGGGCAGGGTGAGGTTTTCAATGGTGAAGTATCACTAACCCTGGGTAGGATGAGGTTTTCAATGGTGAAGTATCATAACTCTGGGTGGGTGAGGTTTTCAATGGTGAAGTATCATTAACCCTGGGTAGGGTGAGGCTTTCAATAAGGAAACTATCATTAACCCCGAGTGGGATGAGGTTTTCTATGAAGTATCATTAACCCTGGGTGGGTGAGGTTTTCAATGGTGAAGTATCATTAACCCCAGGTTGGATGAGGTTTTCAATGGTGAAGTATCATAACCCTGGGTAGAATGAGGTTTTCAATTGTGAAGTGTCATTAAACCTGAGTGGGATGAGGTTTTCAATGGTGAAGTATCATAACCCTGGGTAGGATGAAGTTTTTAATAGTGAAGTATCATTAACCCCGGGTAGGGTGAGGTTTTCAATGGTGAAGTATCATTAACCTCGGGTATGATGAAGTTTTCAATGGTGAAGTATCATAACCCTGGGTAGGATGAAGTTTTTAATAGTGAAGTATCATTAACCCTGGGTGGGTGAGGTTTTCAATGGTAAAGTATCATTAATCCCGGGCAGGGTGAGGTTTTCAATGGTGAAGTATCACTAACCCTGGGTAGGATGAGGTTTTCAATGGTGAAGTATCATAACTCTGGGTGGGTGAGGTTTTCAATGGTGAAGTATCATTAACCCTGGGTAGGGTGAGGCTTTCAATAAGGAAACTATCATTAACCCCGAGTGGGATGAGGTTTTCTATGAAGTATCATTAACCCTGGGTGGGTGAGGTTTTCAATGGTGAAGTATCATTAACCCCGGGTAGGGTGAGGTTTTCAATGGTGAAGTATCATTAACTCTGGGTAGAATGAGGTTTTCAATTGTGAAGTGTCATTAAACCTGAGTGGGATGAGGTTTTCTATGGTGAAGTATCATTAACCCTGGGTGGGTGAGGTTTTCGATGGTGAAGTATCATTAACCCTGGGTGGGTGAGGTTTTCAATGGTAAAGTATCATTAATCCCGGGCAGGGTGAGGTTTTCAATGGTGAAGTATCATTAACCCTGGGTAGGATGAGGCTTTCAATAAGGAAACTATCATTAACCCCGAGTGGGATGAGGTTTTCTATGGTGAAGTATCATTAACACTGGGTGGGTGAGGTTTTCAATGGTGAAGTATCATTAACCCCGAGTGGGATGAGGTTTTCTATGGTGAAGTATCATTAACACTGGGTGGGTGAGGTTTTCAATGGTGAAGTATCATTAACCCCGGGTAGGGTGAGGTTTTCAATGGTGAAGTATCATTAACTCTGGGTGGGTGAGGTTTTCAATGGTAAAGTATCATTAACCTTGGGTAGGATTAGGTTTTCAATGATGAAGTGTCATTAACCCTGAGTGGGATGAGGTTTTCAATGGTGAAGTATCACTAATCCCGGGTAGGATTAGGTTTTCAATGGTGAAGTATCACTAATCCCGGGTAAGGTGAGGTTTTCAATGGTGAAGTATCATTAATCCGGGTAGGGTGAGGTTTTCAATGGTGAAGTATCATTAACCCTTGGTAGGGTTAGGTTTTCAATGGTGAAGTATCATTAACCCTGGGTGGGTGAGGTTTTCAATGGTGAAGTATCATTAACCCTAGGTAGGATTAGGTTTTCATTGGTGAAGTATCATTAACCCCGCGTAGGATTAGGTTTTCAATGGTGAAGTATCATTAACCCAGGGTAGGATGAGGTTTTCAATGGTGAAGTATCATAACCCTGGGTAGGGTGAGGTTTTCAATAGGGAAATTATCATTAATCCGGGTGGGATGAGGTTTTCAATAGTGAAGTATCACTAATCCCGGGTAAGGTGAGGTTTTCAATGGTGAAGTATCATTCACCCAGGGTAGGATGAGGTTATAATAATAATAATAATAATAACTTTATTTAATTAAGCGCAACAATTCCAACATATGAAGATCAAAGGCGCTGATACAATAAACAATCAGTCAAATATTAAAAGCACATTTAAATAAGTGCGTTTTCAGTCTGGATTTAAAAATGTCTACTGAAGGACTAGAACGAACAGACAGAGGTAATTCATTAAAAAGTTTAGGACCTAAATTTTCAAAAGCACGGTCTTTGTATAACACCTTGGACTTTTTACTACACACCTGACGAGTTTTAATAAGAAAC